CAAGGTGCGTTCCTATAAGTCTTCCTACCAATATGACCATGTTGCGAAAACAAGGTCAAACAACTTCTATTTTCATTATACCTATTTTACTTCTTCCTTAGTATTCACTTATTGAGCTACATGATAAGCTATGAAGTAAAGCATAAATAACGGTCGAAGTCAGAAGTAAGTATGCTAGGGCGAGATGCTACCTTGTTTTCTATATTCCAAAAGTAGTGGCTGAGCCTCATTGAATTGAAGATTTACTTCATCCTTGCTACTAACGCTTCTTAAGAATTGAATTCAACTTTAATTGATCTACATCTTACTAGTTTTTATTGTTGTTGGAGAGGATTGCCCGCTTCCTACGACTATATTGCATAAGGAGCCAGTTTTTAATATCTAAATTTGCGCCGCTAAAGAAGTCTTAGTTCCTTTTTAGAGCATTGTTTATTTTAATTGAATTCTTGTTATTATTCAATTCTTAATTGTAGTATTTATGTGTGTATATGCCTATGCTAAAGGTTATCTCCTCTATTTATATTTACACATCCTTACACACTGCAGTTGGCCGAGGCCGCCTGCAAACGGTGCCAATTTGAGCTTGCCCAGGATTGCATGGTGCGCACTAAGGATTATGCTAGCCTCTTGCTCATTGCCACGAGCACCGGGAACGCCGATATGTTACGCCTTCTGGCTCGACAGGCAAGCGAAGAAAAACGTGACAACATCGCATTTCTTGCAAACTTCATGCTCGCCGACCTAAATGGCTGTCTACAGGTAAACATAGGTTAAGTACATTCCTTGTGGTAAAAGCCTTGCACGGATTAGACTAGTTTACTAAAAACGTTATTAATTTAACTTCTCTCCACCTATTATGAGAATAGCATTATACACTTGACCTTTGATCAGGATGTCTGAGGCATCGGAATCAAGCAAGCAGTTGAAGGTAATATTTTAAGCAGTGGGTTAAGAAGTGATATTTTAATCCTGTTTATATCCCTAATACCAAGTCTATGACTTGCCATGCCCTAT